GTTAAAATTATTTTCATAATAATACTAACATAGTATTGCCTTTCACTCATATTCTTTTTTATTTAAAGTGTCTGTTTTTATTTTTTGTTAATGTTTTTAATTTATGGAATGAAACAAGCATTTTCATAGCATAGTACAGTAAAAAAGATGATTGTACATGAAACTGCAAATCTACTATGCACAACTTGCTATTCTTTTCAAATATATAACAAAATTATCATGTAAATTTTTTTCACACACACACACAATTAGTCTATATATACTTCTATTTAATCAATTCATTCTCTGGGTGCAGATAGTGTCTTTCTTCATACATCCTTTATAGTTAATTTGGGTATTTATAATAGACAAAATAACTTACTTGTTCAAAGTTGTTCTTAAAACAATATTGCTGTTACTGTATACAGTGTTCTCTTGGTTCTGCTTATTTTGCTCTTTATTTTATGCAAGTCTTGCCATGTTTTTCTAAAATCATTGAGCTCATCATTTCTTATAGCACAGTAGTATTACATCCCAATCATACACCACAAGTTGTTCAGCTATTCCCCAGTTGGGCATCCCTACAGTTTCCAGTTCTCTACCACCACAAAGATAGCTGCTATAAAGGTTTTAGAACATATAGTTTCTTTTCCTTTTTCCCTAATCATCTTTGGAAATAGACCAAGTAGTGGTATTTCTGGGCCAACTAGTTTAATAACTCTTTGGGCATAATTCCAGATTTCTCTTCAAAATGGTTGGATCATTTTACAGTTCCACAAACAATGAGTTAGTGTCCCAATTTCTCCACATCCTCTCCAACATTTGTCACTTTCCCCTTCTATGATTTTAGCCAATCTGGTAGATATACAGTGATATCTCAAGGTTGTTGTAATCTGCATTTCTCTCATAGAGCATTTTTTTATATGACTATAAATTGTTTAGATTTATTCATTGGAAAACTACCTCTTCATATTCTTTGACCATTTATCAATTGGGGAATGACTTGTATTCTCTCTAGATGTTCATATTCTTTCATGAGTTTCGTAGTTTTTGTGAGTTTCAGAAGAATTTCAGAGACTCCATAACCTTTTAATTAAATATTTATTTACAAAAATGAAACACTGAGTTAATAGCTCATCTGCCAAACTATTTTTGCCTTACAAATGGACAAATCTGCATATTTGACTAGACTTGCTGTTTTGTTTAATATTTGTCTTTTATCAGCACCAATTAATCATAGAAGATCTTTTATGTAAATGGACGGCAGTAAACACTAATGGTGCTAAAATACCCAAAATATTAAATAACTGTTTTGAATTTGATAGTTTATTCCTTTACAATTATGTTGACAGTTGCATCAATGGTACAAGAGCAATGGTGGGTAAAACTGCTGGTGTGTAGCATGAATCAAGACAGTGGCTCCACAATGTGCTACTAGTTACCAATGTACTCACAATCAAAATAATGCCAGTTTCACTTACAAATATCCTTGATGAAGCAATTAAAAAAATTAATTTTATTGAATCTTGATTCTATATGACAAAATAGCAAGTACACACAAAGCATTTGTGCTGTATACAGAAGTATGGTGGTTGTCTCCAGGAGAAGCCCTGGGAGAACTGTTAGAATTATGAACTGAACAAGTCACTGTTTTCATAAAACACCATATTTACTTGAAAGACTGACAAAGTATGACTATTCACACTTGAGTATTTGGCAGGCATTTTCTCAAAATGAAGAGAGTCTATCACTTCATGGAGAACAACTGACAATATTTATTTCTAATTATAAAATTCAGGCTTTCAAGTGAAAATTAGAATTTTTGAATTTATATTTGCCACCATGAGTTTGACAGCCTCCCATACGTAACAGCTTTTCTGATAAGACTGGTGGTGATATTAACACTTTTGTTGTTGTTGTTGTATATGAAATGTATAAACATTTGGAATATTTGCATACTTCAGTGAACCAGTATTAACCAGATGGCCAATACATGATATTACAAAAGCATGTAACAGTATGAAAAGTCGTTGCACTGGTTTCAGATTTCATGTTGAAACTAATCATTAAGAAGCTACCATTTGTTGAGTTTTGGTGGAGTGTCAAAGAAGAATAACCACAATTATCTGAAAAAGATCTTAAGATACTCATCCATTTCCCAGTTATATAGATATATCTATGTGAGGCCTGCTTATTTCACATACTTCATCCAAAATAACATGTCAAAACCTATTGAAGGGGCAGCTAGGTGGCCCAGTGGATAGGGCACCGGCTCTGGAGTCAGGAGGACCTTATTTCAAATTTGGCCTCAGGCACATAACACTCACTAGCTGTGGACTCTGGGCAAGTCACTTAACCCCAGTTGCCTCACCAACAAACAAACAAACAAACAAACAAACAAAAACTATTGAATACAGAAGCAGATATGAGAATTTAATTGTCTTCTGTTAAGCCAGACATTAAAGATATTTGCTAAAATGTAAAGTTATACTGCTCTTCTCACTAAATTTTTTTTGTTTTGAGAATATAGCTAATTTCAATAAAAATATGTTATTTATGTATATAATGAGTTATACATGTAAAGGGTTATTTTAAATGAATAAAAATGTAATATGTGAGTTTTCATTTTTAATATAGTAAATATTGACAGCTATAACCCACCTAAATAAAAACTCTTTGGGGTATTCAGTAATTTTTTTGGATTGTAAAGACCAAAAGTTTGAGAACTTGTGCTCTAGAATATGCATAGCACTTGTGTCAGTGGCTTCCCTTATCATTAAGCTTTTAGGCAAGTTACTTGTTTAGGCAGAAAGAATGAAAAAGGAGATGAAAAAATTGTTCAGTTCTGCTCTTCTGCCCAAAACAAGGGGCTTAATTTCCAGTTCCTATTTTAGGATGGAGATGGTTTGAGATAACACAGTCTTAGTAAAGTGCTGAATTCCTAGAATATCATATTTGGGTTCCTTGACTACATTTCTAGCCAGTAGTGATGACTCTCTTCTCTGAATTCCTACATCACCTTACTGTCTGTAATAATCATTTTGTAAGTTGTGTAATATTCTAAACGTTTAATTGTTTTATCTCAATGTCGAGTATACAGTAAGTGGTTCATAAATGCAGACTCTTTTGGATCTGTCACTAAAGTTTTCTTTGTCTTTGGGCAAATTTATCTTCTGGCCTCAACCCTACTTATAAAGTAGAATTGTAATCTTAGTCACTTCATAGTGATATTTGGATGACAAACATGAAAAAAGCTCACTTAGGTCACAGATTTAGAGCTACATGCCCTTAAAGTTCATCTAGATCAAACCATTCTTCTTGCAGATGAGAAAACTGAGGCCTACAGAAGTTAAATGACTTGCCCAGGGTCACTCCAAATTTGAAACCTGTATCCTACATCTTTAAATTGAATGTTCTGTCCACTATACCTCTCTGTCTACTTTTTGCAGTGTGTTAGTAAGGTGAGATAAGAATATAATTTGATTGAAAAGCCAGTGGACCTCAGTTTGAATCCAGAATAACTCTGCCACTTACTGTCTAGGTGAACTTAGTCAAGTACCTTACTTATCAATTTCTTTTAAAAATTTAAAAATGGTTGGGGCAGCTAGGTGGCACAGTGGATAGAGCACCGGCCCTGAAGTCAGGAGGACCTGAGTTCAAATCCAGCCTCAGACCAAACACTTGACACGTACTAGCTGTGTGACCTTGGGCAAGTCACTTAACCCTGATTGCCTCACTAAAAAAAAAAAAAAATTTTTTTAAAATGAAGAAGCCATATTAGATGTCCACTGAAAACTATTCATGCTCTAAATCTTCTGTGGACTAACATATAGCATGTAAATTAGGATGCTAATTTTGTTATTGTCACTGTGATTCAAAGTTGAGCATGTTTTTAATGTGAAGGGTACAAGAGGATGCAAAGGCAAGGCCCTTTTTTTTTTTCTTTAAAGAGGTGGTAATCCTTTGACAGGGTTAATTCCTTATTAATAAGATTAACATAGATGAGGCCTTTGGTCTGGCATTGTTGATATCCTGTGATAGAATGTAAACTTGTCTTGCCCTTGGTACTCTTTGGCATTTTATGTTTGAGAATGATTGATTCATGGATAATTGCTTATACCTGAGCTGTGCCCTTGGACTTGACCTTTGAAAGGAAAAGTAGAAAGCTGTGAAACAAAGAAAACCAGAGAGATTAAGAGAGAGAGAAGGCAGTTTTTTGGATCAAAGAGTCATTTGGGTCTCATCAGGGAACCAGGTGCTTCAGGGAACCCTGCAATTCCAGAGATGGCAGAGCTGAGGAGTAAGAAGGATTTTGGCCCATGTTTTGAGGTAGAGGAATGCAAGTTGTTCGCGATGTGTGGTAGTTAAAAAGAGGAAAAAAAATGATTTGTAAGGAGCTTTCAAGATTAAACCTGGTCTTTATAAAATTCCCAGAGTCTTTGGTCTGGGCCTTTGGTTACATTAACTTATTTGCCCTGCTCTAGTCACCAGAGGTTTTTTTTTTTTTGTTTTGTTCTAGATCACTCATAGTTGACTCATCCCACTTATCCAGATCCTTGCATCTCTGCTTTGTTTTGAGAGCTTGGTGGTGCCAAAGAGGAAAAAGCATATGGGAAAATGCACCCATGTACTTATCCTTATGGCTGGTGGTAGGTGTCTTTTGGAAATATGTGCTAGTTTAATTCAGTTATGTTACTGGTAATCTGTCAATGGATTATTTTTGTCTTATTGGTAGAATTCAATGACAGGAATCTCAGACCTAGAAAGTAATGAAGTTAGTTGTTAAGGAAGGTGGCAGCCAAGCAATTCCATTATGACTTGGCATTTGTCTCCTTGTGGAGTGAGCTATTTGTAACTTTTATATCATAAATTGCTATAGTTAATTGCTTCTGTCCTTTATCTTTAGCAATTAAAAAAACAGCAGATTTGACTAAAGACTATTGATAAATCTTTTTTTTTCTTGCCAACTGCCTTTAAATTTGGTCTGTGACTTCATGCTTTGATTTTTGTCTTTACTACAGCATCTGGAGAGGACCCAATGTGAATTGTGTCGACAGCACCGGTTATACCCCTCTGCACCATGCAGCTCTGAATGGCCACAAGTAAGTATTAATCGTATCTACCCTGCTTTCACAATCTCCAGAGCCCTAATCCTTTCAGTGCCTCTCACTCATGCCTGTATTTCTAAGTAGTGAATAGTGGTAACAGGGAAGAGTAAGAAAGTGAAGCTTAATTAAATCCATCTAAAATCCAAAAATCTCATTTTAGTCAAATTCTAAATTTCTTCTTTCAGGAGCCTTTAGCCAGTGGTCCTGATGGATGGAGATGTTTAATTTCTCATATTATAGTAGAAAGCATTTTGGCATCGGAGTCAGAAACCCTAGATTCAAACCTTGATCCTGATGTTTACTATCTGCATCCCTTTAGACAGATCATTCACCTGCTTGGGCCTTAGCTACCTCATCTGGAAGAGTGAGGACCTCCAAAGTCCCTTCCAACTGTACGTCTATGATCTTACGTGTGGAGCAGAATACTGTCCCCTCAGATCTCTGAAAGGACAGAAAATACTTCATATTTATTTTTACTTGGTTTCTTTGTCCCTTTCTCCTTCATTCTGCATAGTAATAGGTTTCCTATAGCATTCCTTCCACATAGACACTATTCTGAACCTTTTGCTCTCACTCTTTAGTTTTCACTCTTCCTCACCATTCCCTTCTCATCAGTTGCCACATCCTAGTGATTCTCCTACAACATCTCTTATATCTTCCCCCTTTTCTCTACCCATACCACAGCTACCTTCATTCAGATCTTCATCCTCCCTTGCCTGGGTTATTACAACAGCTTCCTAATTGGTCTCCCTTTTTCCAGTCTCCATCTCCCATCTATACCCCATACGGCTGACAAAATAAAATTCCTGAAACACAAGTTTGGGGACGTACCTTTTATGCGGTGGCTCCCTCTTGCCTCTATGTTCAAATACAGACCCTTCTATTACCTTTTTAAGCCCTTTCCAGGCTGGTTATACGTTATTCAACCAGACTGGCCTGTCTCACATGCAACATTCCATCTCTCATCGTCATGCTTTTGCATAGGCTGTCCTTCATCCCTGGAACACACTTACCCCTCATGTCTGCAACTTAGAATCCCTGACTTCTTTTGAAACAAACTTCAAGCACCATTTCCTGGGTGAAGCCTTTCTTGATCCACCAGGTTGGCCCCCCCCTTAACTTAGTTACTTTGTATACAATTCATATCTAACTATAGGGATACATTTTCTCTGATAGAATATAATCCTTTTATAAGCAGGTACTATTTCCTTTTTTTCTTTGTATTCCCAGTACCTAGTGCTTGGCAAACAGGTACTTAATAAATATTTGTTGATTGATTAATACTCATTCTTTAAACCCCCAACCTCACTCCACCCACTTTGATTCAGCAATCAGTCAGTCACCAAAGACTAGTTTATTGTTTGCTGTACTAGGCGTTGGATGCATGAACTTCTCAACTATTGGTCTCTACCTCAAAGCTTTTCAGCATTTTTTTTTTTATTTTCTTTCTTCTCTCCTGTCATAAGAAAAGTCTTCCCTATTCCTTGGTAAGGAATCCTTCTACCATCTCCAAGGGAGAGGTGGAGCCAAGATGTCAGAGTAGCAGAAAGTATAGCAGTAAGCTCCTCTCTGCAAAACTTCAAATACACCTAGAAAATGCACCAGACCAAATCTTGTTGGGGGAGTCCAAGAAGTCACATTGAGTCATTTTTCTGACCTAAGCCACCCAGGCTTAGGGAGACTTAAAGGATTGCAGTCACTAGGGGGAGCATTTAGCCAGGAGCTCTTCATTGCAGGGAGAAGCTGTGCACCAGGGCATATTGTGGTCCCAGACCCATCCTGGGACACCTGGGTGGGAATCGGTGCCAATAGACAGCTTTATTGCCCACTACTTAGATATGAGTCATAGATCAAGGGTGGACTGAGGAGGAGACTGGCTGCTGTGCCGTCTTCCTCCCGCGGTTCAGGTTCTAGGTTGTAAACCAAAAAGAGAGCAGATTCAGAAGCAATCAGTAGGCAGTGTGACTAGGATCCAGGAAGCAGAGCAGGGTCTCAGTTCCAGCCCAGTCTGAAGCCTGCAGAGAAATAACTAACCAGGAATTCCAGATGACAGGGAAGCCTACAACTGTGTCACTCTGAACCAGCATAGCTTCCTAACTGGTTGATAGCAGCCGAGTTCAACAGTAGCTTACTGTTGCTCAGACCCAAACTCAGTTTAGGAACTTTGAGAGTTTGGGCAGGGAGACAGAGTCAGATTTTGCTCTGGATCAGACTGTTTTGGAAACACTGAACGCTTGCAGGTCTACAGCGTGAGCTGTCCCTGAGATGGTGAAACAACACAATACTTAGTAATACAGAGGAAGCAGCATCAGCGACATACTAGACCTTCCCTCTAGAAATAGGCAGTCCTCAGCCCTAACGTCAAGTATGGTGTCAGGAAATAGACTGGAATAGTGATTAAAAAAAAAAAAAGAATTCCACCATAAGAAGTGATCAGGAAGACAGACACTCAAGACAAAAACTCAGGAGAAGTGGATGACTCCAAAGCATCTATGAGAAAAGTTTTAAAGAAAAAACACAGCTTGGGCACAGATACAAACAGAATTCCTGACTGAGATGAACAAAGAGTTAAAAGAGTTTATAAAAGTTTTTGTCAATGAGAACACTAGAGAGGGGAAAAATGGAAAAGAAATGAGAAATATGAAAGAAAGAATTAGAAAGGGAATTACCATCTTTACACAAAAGGTGCAAAGGTCCTTGCCCAAGCAACAAACTCACTGAAAATTAGAATGGGCCAAATGGAGCAGTGACAAAAAAAAAGCCAAAAGATTGGAAAAAAAATAGAAATGTAAGGTGTCTCATAGCAAAATTGACTGACCTGGAAAACAGATCAAGGAGAAATCATTTCATAATCATCAGACTACCTGAACATCCTCATCAAGAAAAGAAATGTCAAGAAATCTTAAAAGAAAACTGCCTACATCTCTTAGAAACAGAGGGCAAAGTAGAGATAATCCATTGGTTATTTTTGAAAAGAAACTCCCAGATGAAAACTTTCAGCCAAAATTCAGAGCTTTTAAGTTAAAGGAAAAATATTGCAAGCAACCAGAAAGAAATAATTCAAGTCCTAAGGAGCCACAGTTGAGGCTCATACACAATTTACGGCCATCAGTCTGAAGGAGCAGAGAGCTTAGAGTACAATATCCCAGAAGGCAAAAGATATAGACTTATAATCAAGAATAGCTTACCCAGCAAAACTGAGTATAATGTTACAGGGGGAAAATGAATCTTTAATGAAATAGAAGATTTTCAAGTATTCCTGACAAAAAGACTGAAGTTCAAATACAGGAATGAAAAGAAACATTAAAAGGTAAACATGGTTGAGCAACATTAGAAGAGTAAACAAGTATAAACTGCTTACGTTCAAATATGGGAGATGATACATGTTCCCATTGAACTTTATCAGGGCTCATACAAGGAGTCTAATTAAACAGAAATCCTGGGAGTGTTTCTGTTAATGATCTTAAGAGAACAATGAAAAGAAAAGGAAAGGAGGAGAGTTAGTGCAAATGATCTCATCTCAGGGTGCAGAAATAGATATCTATACAGTTGAGGGTGGGGGGAGTAGCTGACTCTTGAATCTCACTCTCATGTGCACTACTCGAAGGAAGGAAGAATACATATACACAGAGTTGGGTACATAAATACAGGATGGAAATAGGAGAAATGAGAAAGAGGGAAGGGGGAGAGAAAATTAAAGGAGGTATTAGTCCTAAGCAAAATGGACTGTTAAGGATGTACAAAAATATTTATAACTCTTTTTGATGTGATAAAGGATGGGATTCTGAGGGGGTGCACATTAATTGAGGAATGGTTGAGCAAGTTGTGTTTTATGAATGTGATGGAATTATGTTGTACAGTAGGAAATGATGGAGACATTTTGAGAAAGACTTGAGAAGACATGTGAACTGATGCAGAGTGAAGTGAACAAAACCTGGAGCACATTTATACAATGAAAACAATATTGTAAAGACAGACTTGGAAGGATTTAGGAATTCTGATCATTGTTAATCACCAATCATGATAATAGAGTAGAACTAATGATGAAACATGCTACCTACCTCCTGATAGAGAAGTGAAGAACTCAGAGCACAGAATGAAACATAATTTTTTTGGACATCACCATTCTGGAAATTTTTTTGCTTGATTTTTGTACATGTTTTTAGTTACATGTAATTACATGTTTGTAATTGGAGTTTTGTTTTTCTTTCATTTTCACTTGAGGGAAGGGTTAGGGGGAGGGAAGAAGAGAAGGTGGATTTTTGCTGATTAAAAGAGTGTGTGTGTGTGTGTGTGTGTGTGTGTGTGTGTGTACATTTTCAATCAACAGATATTGCTCAGATATTCTTAATTGAAGAAAGATTTTCCTTTGATTTATTCCCTGAAGGTATTTTCATCTCTATAAGTCCTTTTGCCAGCACAATTTTTAGGAAAAATAGTTTATAATACCCAATGCATTCATTTCTTTACCATCTACTTAATCCTTAACTCCTTCATAATCTGGCCTCTCTTCCCTACCACTCTGTACTGAAACTGCTTTCCTAAAGGTGACCAAATCTAATAACTTTTTCTTATTTCTTATCTTTTTTTCACATCTCTGTGGCACATGACACAGTAGATCATTGATTCTCAAACTTTTTGTTCTCAAGACCCCTCTTAAAAATTATGGAGGCCTCCTTTCCCCAAGCTTTTACATTTATCTATTGTTCTTTACTCAATTACAGATTTTAATGTCTTAGTACTTTTATGAAAATAAAGGATCTCAGAGATCCTTAGAAGTTCCTGGAATACACTTTGAGAATTGCTGCTGTAAACTCTTTAGCTTGGCTTCCAGGTTATTTTCTGACCTCTAATTGTAGTTTCTCTGTCTCCTTTACTGCTTCCTGTTTCCAACTCTTACTGTTAGTGTTCTTCAAGATTCTGTCATTGGCTTTCTCATCTCTCTATACTCCCTTGCTTATTTATGTGCACAGTTTAATTACCTATACAGAAAATCTCAATTTTCAATACTGACTTTTTTCCTGAACTTCTCTAGTCCTGTGTCCACAGCTCTCTCTAGGGCATCTCTACTATAGGTCCTGTCAGCACCTCAACTGTGACATGTGTAATACTGAACTCTCCTTTCCCCACAATTTCCCCACTTCTTCTATCATGGCTCTACCATTTAATCATGTTCCATACCTCACTGCTCCCTTTGTCTTATTCCTCATCTGACACATCAAATTTATTTCCAAGTCTTGTTGATTTTACCTTTAAAATATCTCTGGCATATGTCATTCCTTTAGATTTTCCTTGTTGCCATCCCAGTATTTACAGCACCCTCATATAGAACATCCTTACCACTTGCTTTGACTATTTGAATAAACGCTTACTTGGTCCTAGTACTTCTATTCTTTCTTCTCTCTCTGTCACCCTGTCCCTACCCTCTATTTTTGGGGGGGGGGGGTGAGGCAATTGGGGTTAACTGACTTGCCCAGGGTCACACAGCTAGTGAGTATCATGTGTCTCAGGTCCTCCAGTCCGACTCCAGGGCCGGTGTTCTATCCACTGTGCCACTTAGCTGCCCCTCTACCCTCTATTCTTCATACTGCCACCAGATGAATTTTCTATATATTTGATCATCATCTTCCTTTGTCCAAATCTGTAACTAGGGAAAAATGAGAGGGGCTTTGCCCAAAGTCAGGACTTTTAGAAAGCAAATACATTTAATATGTGTACATCTTCAGCACTGTAGGAGGTGAGAATAACCATGGAGGAGTTGAGAAGAAGAGAATTAGGCTTCACATTACTGTGTAGTTGGTAGCTTCTATCCCCATCTTCTCCAATTCTGTAAAGGAGAATCTCCAATCTTCCTGGTCCCCTCCCTTTCCTTTCCCCCTGTCCTTTCTAGGGGAAATAGCCTCTCTCCCTATTTTCCCTCAGCAAGCAAAAACACTTTCCCTCCAAGAAGGGTAAATAATAGTCTTAGACCTCCTTTGTTTTTCACACAATGTGGGAGGGAACCTAAGTGAAGTCCTTGCTAAAGTAGAAGCAGACTGAGACTCCAGATATTGTGGGTTGGACTAGACTTCTAGAGTCCTTTTCATCTCTGAGATTTTATTCCTGAAGTTACTATAGTAATGAGTCTTCTCTCTGTCATTCTACTGAATTTATTTGAAATACTTCTCAAATTATTTTCATGTCATGAATAACAAAGTTGATTTGAAGGAACATTCCTCCCCTCTTTTTTCCCCCCCAACTTATCTTAGTTGGTGCTGCTTGCTCAGTTACCCAGGGTGCCAAAATCATTATGACTCTGTGTCTACTCCAGATCTGTCAGTGATACCCTATTGCCTCCTGAATAAAGTCTAAGCTCCTTAGCTTAATTGTCAAATTTCTTCACCATCAGGCACTAAATTGTCTTTTTAACCTGATCTCATCCTGTCCCATACTTTGTACTCTATGCTGTAGCCAAACTGGACTCTTTTGGATCCTTTCACACATCATCTGATTTCCCATGCTTTGCATGTGTTTGTGCCTTTTCTCATTTATTTTCCACATCTGAGATCAATCATATTTATATAGTTTATAAAGCATTTTTCCTAAAAAAAATTCTCTGGGAGGCATGTGCTATGAGTAATGTTATTCCCAGTATGTAGATGAGGAAACTGAAGTTGAAAGAGGTTAAGTGATTTTCAGCTTGTAAATCCTGGAACTGCATCCTGAACTCAGAATTTCTATCTCTAAGACCTGTCTTCTTTTCTGCTATAGTATACTCCTTTCTCCCTGCCCGATTTCCCCCTGTCTATACCTTTTTATCTCTCGAGACTCTGCTTCAAGAGGAGAATATTTTAGGCAGTTATGGGAATGGATTATGACTCTGAAAAGGGAGCAAGAAAATCTTGTATGGAGGATAATGGGTAAGTTTTCTCTACTAAGATATATAAACAGTGTAATAGGAAATGAAGGCATTTAAATAATGGGATTAGTATAGAGCCTTGGAGCACGTGATTTAAAAAAATTAGATTTTATGAACTGTGAATATTTTTTGTGTGTACTTTGTTAGAGTTTTGTTTGTAATCCCTCCCTTAACTCACCATCCCTCTAATATCCCCTTCTCTTTTCCACTTCCCTTCCTCTTTCACTGTTAAATGAAATGTACTTCTGTACCCAGCTCTGTGTGTGTGTGTGTGTGTGTGTGTGTGTGTGTGTATTCCCTGCTTTGACCAGTTTGAATGAGAGTGAGGTTCAAGCATTGACTACTCCTCCCACTCCTTTTTCATATAGATTTTCTACTTGTTCATCCTGATTATATGAGGTAATTTCCCCTAACTTTCCTTTCCTCACCCTAATGTGTTACTCTTCCTCTCTCTTTCTGTTCTTTTTTCTTTTTAAATCAAGATATAACAGAACCACTTCTGGGCCTTCTGTCTAATTAGACTCTATGGTCCCCAAAGGGATGAGAGAGGACATATGTATCATCTCTTCATATTAGAACATAAATAGTTCATCCTTATTTAGTCCCTTAGGATTGTTCATTTCTGTCATGCTTTGTGTTAATGTTGGTGGTTTTTATTTCTAGTGGAGATTTTCTCTGATTTAATGTGTATAGTGGGTAATAGTGTCACCAAGAAGGAAGCTAACTTCCCCTTTCCAAAGTACTCAAATTATACCATATGTGTTTGGTTTATATTTGAATTAACTTCTGCTCTCATCTATCCTTCTGCATTCAACACAAAAGGATAATTGCCTTGAATAACGTATTAAATTGTACCAGGGGCTTTTGCATTACTTCGTTTACATAAATTCTGTTCCAGAATGCTATTAAAGCATCCAGGCGAGGGGGTGATTTCAAGGTACAGATAAGGAAGCCAGACATTTTCAGATGAATAGAAATGAAATAGTGTCAAAGAGGCCAAGATAATTGGGAAGAGTGATTCAGACAACATGGCTCCAGAAAGTTAGACTCTCCTATCAACGTCTGTGTCAATAGTTTGCTTGAGAGAAAGAGGGCTGAAGGAGATGTCTCAACTAAAGATTGGGAACTCAGGAAAGAGAGTTTTGAATTATGCAAGCTCATCAGGTGTTGTTGCCTTCCAGGGACGTGGTGGAGGTTCTTCTAAGGAATGATGCATTGACCAATGTGGCTGACTGTAAAGGCTGTTACCCTCTTCACCTGGCAGCCTGGAAGGGGGATGCTCAGATAGTTCGGTTACTCATCCACCAAGGACCCTCCCACACCAAAGTCAATGAACAGGTCAGAAGAAGACTTTTCATGCAATCTGACTGTAGGAGAACGTGGTGGGAGGCGGTATTTTATTTCTGTAGCCCTAGTCTTGGTTTATTCTTCTTGGACACATGCTACTTCCTGTTGGTAAATCTCATTATACTTGCACATTGTAGTTATTCGGGCATATGTGTAGACTGTGAGGAAGGAGTATGCTTCTGGCATGTGGATTGAAAGGCTTTATCTTTTTGACAGCTCCTCTTTCTTTGCCTACTCTTCTTGCCAGAGCTGAAGCAGTCCTTTTTTCTATTTCATAATAGTGTTTGAAAGAGGAAATTATGGCTCTTGCTTGTTGAGAATGTAAATAAAACTGCATCCATTTACTATAATACCTTCAGCCCCATTTTCCTAAGTCCCTCAGCTGAGTAAGTAACTGTTAGTCTATGGCATTTAAGTTGATATTGTTGTTCACAAATAAGCCACCCAAACTGACAAAGGTCTCATCCTGTAGAAGAACAAACATACAAGGTATTGTCTTCCAACAGTGGCTTTAAAGGGTTGTTAAGCTGTTAGAGGTGTGGTGTAATTTATAAGAGGGAATCTTAGCCCATAGGCACGAGAAAATTAAGATAAAAGAGCTTTCAATTTTCCTTATATTGAAATAATAATGACTAACATTTAAATAGCACTTAAAGGTTTGCAAAGCCCTTGACATGTTCATTTTGAATCTTACAACAATCATGTAGGTACTATTATGATCTCCATTTTACAGATGAGAAACTGAGGCTGAGAGAGGTTATATGACTTATTCAGGGTCACATAGCTAGTAAGTGTATGAGGCAGGATTTGAATTCGGATTTTCTTGACTCCACGTCCAGCACTATCTACTAGGTCATCTAGCTGCTTCCTTGGTGCCTATATATGGCTAGTAACCAGTTTTCCATTTCCTTTGAGATTGTAGTGCCTAGGTATGGGTCATCAAAATTTGACTAATACTTATTTTCTTTTTTTAACATTTAAGGGATGACTACTGTTAACAAAGTATAACTTTTATTATATTGTTTTAGCCCCAGTGACTGATTGTTAATTCTCTTTTGCCAAAGGGCACAGAGGAGGAAGTTTATTTTTAATTGTTCTTCCTCAGTTTTTAAATGGCTGCACAAATAATACCTCTTATTTAAGAAATGTTCATAACTTTTCAGTCCTTTCTGTCCTGATTTTTACCTTGGAACTTGGATCCTGGTAAAGCTAACTAATTGATCTATGTTGCAGCTTTATCCTACGTTGATCATCCATGGTGGGCAGGGATAGGGGGGTGGGAGTGGGGAATAGTTTGTGGGAATGGGATTCCAGTCCAATGTTATGAAAATCTGTCTAGCAGGTCAGCACTAGAGTAGGGCTGGTATCTTAAGAGAAATGCCCACCATTCCTTGGGGAATGTGATGGATTTGGATAGTCTTTGCAAATGGAGAAAGGCAATTAACTGGTCATTACATTGATTTGTTTAGAAACTATTAATGTGATGGTTTCAGTTGACTGCCTATACAAATGGGGTGATTAGTGGTGAGATGAGGTACCATGGAGGTTGGGTTGCTGTGATTTCTTTTCAAGGTACCCTGGTGAATCTGATTGCCCCTTTGGGGCTACACATTACTTTATTGCTGTGTTTCATCCATTTTATCATCACATTTTCTTTTCCTCTCCTTTTTGTAGAATGCTCTTGAGATCAAAGAACTCAAAAAGTACGGCCCCTTTGACCCTTATATCAATGCAAAGGTGTGTACTTAGCTGACAGGATTTCTCTGCATCATTGCTCCGAGCTGCACCCAGTCTTGGGCTTCCTCTTGCTCCCACTCTCGTGCTCAGGCAGTTTTCATCATCCTGGCTGATGACTGCTCTAGTCATGTCTCCTTCTATTCTGTTTCTGGGGATGGTAAAACGATTTAAAAAATCCAAACCACCCACTGTAAAGTTGCCTACTATTAAAGAGAAATCTGAAAAGCTTAAAATCAATAAAGATGGGGGGAGTTAGGGCACAGTCTCTTTAATTTAAATGCTAGGTTTTAAAAATTGTTATTAGAAAAATCCATGTACTTCAAGGATAATTAGATAAATTAATATTCTTAATAAGCACAAATAATGGGAGGCTTTTACCTGCTAGAACATGAATACATTTTCTTCATGTCTTTTTGGGATCTAATTTCCATATTTCTTTCCAAAGTGAGGGATGCTTGATCTGTGGCTCATGGTGGGGGTAGGAGAAAAAGGCCATGGGTAGCTCTTTTGGGACTCTTGCCTGCTTGCTCCCTCAGTCTTGTTTTGTTAAGTGTGTACATTGTGTCTGGCTTTTAAGCCTCAGTCTTCTGTCTCTAGTCTTTGTTTGCTTTTCTTTCTGCTTAGTCATTCTTGACCCACAAAAAAAGCACAAAAATAGATTACAACTCCCCATTGAAACTGAACACCTGATGAAGTGGATCAGAAGAGTTTCCTAAGTTACTTGATGAGGCCATCAGCAGAGAGAAGATCAATGAAAAGGGAGTAGCATTTTTCTCAGACACTCACCATATTTAATTGAGTTTTGTTTATTGTTGCTCGGCTGACTTTCCCTTTACCATTTGGAGCCTCTCTGGCCACCACCATTTTTCCCTTTGAGCCCTAGCTTCCTCAGTCATAGCAACTCTGCTTGACCAGAGAATTTATTTCACACGAGATCTATTATGTAGAAGAAATAAACCAAACTCTGGTTGAGTCATAATGTTGCCCGTATTAGCTACCTTATGTTTCTTCTCAATGAATTTTCTGAAGGGAAAGCAGGTACAAAATAATTTTTACATTTCAAAGGAGCTGAGAGTAAATTTCATGTTCTCATTTTGTTAAGGAGCAATTCAATATTGATGATCTCCTTCTCCCCTCTCCTTCTTGATACCCATTAAGGATGCTGAGATTTTCCCAATTGATAGCAATGTAATCTAGAGAGACTGTGTCACCGGGGATCTTGGGATATGTAGGTTTTTCTTACAGTGACATACCAGGTATAGCTTTGGGAAGACCCTTTTGTCCTTGTATCCTTTTCCATTTTCCAAATGGAAAGGATTTTGTGCTTTAAATATTTTTGAGATCTGGGACTCTAGTAATTTTCTAGAATCTGGGACTCTAGTAATTTTCATGATAGAAGTTTTTTAAAATGATACACTTAAAGTGAGAACCACATTCAGAGAATAGAGGTCAGGGATTTAGAAGTATTTCCTTTTTGTGGCTAGTTTAGTTACTTAAAGCATACAATCGAAAGGAAGTTTTAAAGAGACACTGTGGTTTTGAAAATACTTTCTCCTGTCACTTTGATTTAGCCTGCACAGCTAAAGAAGGGCCTAATTAATGAAAAACAAAGAATGAGAGTGTGTCCTTGAGTGACAACTTGTTACCAAACTTAAAAAGCAATATAGTTATTAAAAGTTGGACTTTGAAAGATGAAAATAATACATATTGGTTTTAGGGTGACAAATCCGAATGGATTCCAATAGCTATACCATTTTGAGCTGGCTCATAAACAAAACCTTCTTGCACTATGCCTGTGATTGTTTTCAGTGACCCACTTGGGCTGTCTGAGAGTCATTTTGCTAAAACGCATTTTGCTATTTTGTGTAGCTCAGAGGTGTCAGACATGGAGTGCACATGAGTGAGACCCAAACCTTATTAAAATTTAATTGGGAAATAGTTAACAAAATAAATAAAAATACAGTAAAACATAGATGCATTACATTTTAAAACTAAGTCAATATGTATGATTTAGTGGCCTCTGTTTCTATTTGAGTTTGACACTGCTGCTTTATAGTTGCTTGTCGAGATGAAGAGTCTAGTCTTTTTTTTTTTTAACACAAATGGATTTTTTATTAACATTAATGTTGTGCTCAGAGCCCTGCCTATCTGCAAATAGCCAGAAGAAACCTTTCAACATTGATAATATCTATGTGAATGTAGAACTGTTTTTTAAACAATTCAATCATAACTAGAATATCATAAAATTGTCAGAAAGAGGAACTGTGTTTTAAAGTAGCAGATTATTAAGGTTTGGAAGGTAATTTTGAAGTTATGTCATCCTCCCACCTGCTTCAAGAATCTTGCACCGTTGCTTATAGGTAGTCATTTGATTTAGTTTGGGATACTTTTATTGATGGGAAATTTACCACTTCAAGAGGCAGCCTTTTCCATTTTTGTGTAGTTTTATTTGTTTGAAAGTTCTTCATTATGTTGAACTGAAATCTGCCTTCTAGTAATCTATCAGTCCTAATTGTGTTTGGTAGAGCAGCATGTAAAAGTCACCTTCTTTCTTTGAATGACAGCCCTCTAGACATTGGACAACAGTTGTTACGTGGCCTCTGAGTCTTCTTCTTTATGGTAAACCTCTCTTCTTTGTGATAAACATCCCTAGTTATTTCTACCACTCCTTCAGTGACAAATTGCCCCTCAATATCCTGCAGAAAGGTTTGCCTAAGTGTGACACAAAGACACTAGTTTACAAGCTGAGTCTTACTTTAGGGTTTGGAAGAGAGGAGACCCTGTTATGTATATTCTTCTATAGATAGCTACTATGATAATGCCTCCACATAGTTCCTAGCTGCTAGTAATATGTATTTGTATGTTATATCTCCTCTCTTGACCAATGACCACAGATAAGTAATTTTAACCTTACTCTGCAGTTTTTTGTTTTAAATTTAAGGATATCATGTATGGAATTTATACTTTAAGGGGAGGGGGTCACCAGATGCTAAGATGCATGGTTTTATATACTGTGCATATGTACAGTTCGTCTTCTCTCTGATTCTTCCAAATACTAAGTTACAGTTAGGCAAATAGAAATCCAGATGGCGGATGGGAAATTTGTGAAGGAGAATTTAGAAATTATGGTGCTTTACTTTCTTGCTATTCCCATATCACTTCTATTTCCAGCTTTTGATTCACTGATTCTTGGAATGCCTTAGGGTTTGAAGTTAGTTCTTAGGATGTGACTTCTAAAGGTTTCAGGGCATGCTTAGTTTTAGAAAACTGTCATACCCTTTACATCGCTATATTTTTTAGTGGTTCTCATTGGGTTCTTGATGCTTGACTGACTTAATGGTTTGCTGACTCTTTTACCCCAAAGGAGAAACAGTGTTAATAACAGGGACATTCAGATTCAAATATCTGTGTGAGAGAGAGAAGGAGAGGGAGAAGGTGAATGTTTGACCACAGACATCAGGTATCTTCTTTTTGCTGGAGGATGAGAATATTACTTTCTGTCTTTGAGAACAAGAAAGCTGTTGGTGTTTGTCCTGTGACCAGTGTTGAGAGAGAGAATATAAGTTGCCTTCTACTAATGGTAAATGAAACTTGGTTTTAGTGTGGCAGCCTTGAGGCAAGTTGAGCGAGTGCTGAGGGTTAAGAAACAGGGAGCATCGTTTCGTCCACAAAAGAAATCCATGGGAGAGATTTTGTTTTTCTTTGCTATATGTTTTTATAGTCTACTTGCCTTGAATTGATTGGTAACTGACATGTGCTTAAACAAAGAAAAATTAATACAGTAAGTAACAGAACCCTGTTTCCTCTAGAGTAGATGGACTTTCCTGGATGAAAGTTTCCCTACTCAAACTATGTAGGGTTTGTATTTATTTTATTTTGATGAAAGAGGAGTCATGTGACACAAGTTACATGTAGGCTGTGCTTTCTCATTGTAAAAAGGGATTTACTATTTGCCAGTTTGGAGAAGGATAAACCAGAAGATAGACCTCATTACAAAGTCATGAAGCCAAGATTGCTATTTTGACTGGAGGCACAAGCTGCCAGCCAAGGTAATGGGTCATGTAGTGGATATAAAGAAGCTTGGCCAGGTTTCAAAAAGACTAGGTCCCTCCATGCGGCTGACTGTGAGTGGCACAGTATGGCTGAGCAGAAAGAAACCAGGTGGCCCCAAAGATGCTCTCCCTTCAGGCAGGTGTGCTGCCATTGGCAGACAGACAGACACTCTCTCTCTCTCTGTCTCTCTCTGTCTCTCTCTCTCTCTGTGCTTTTTTGAGCTTAGTGGCACTCAGTGCACTAAGAGGCAGACTGTGTTGGTCATTGATAAAGGCTGGTGATGATGATTGAAGTACACCCCAGCAGTTACTTCACTTGAGCCTTGTTTGAGCTTAATGTTTTGTTTTCTCTGCACCCTATAGTTATCTGTGTGCATTTACTTCTGCTTGTGGCTGTTTTTATTGCTTCTTCTGTCCTGATTTTCTTGATTGTAGTTTATTGGTAAACTCTAGTCATAGGGGCCCTGTTCCTAGCAGCTCCAGATCTTTCTGGGTGACAATGCAGCTGGAAAAAATGATGCAGTCAAATGCCAGATCAAAAGCAGGTGGAGTTGCATGCATGGTTTTGGGTAACCCTGAGAATATATTTTAACATTATTAATAGAATTAAAGCAATTGTAGAAGGTTTTATTTTTACAGTTTGAAAGGTGCAAAATAACGATTTTTTTAGCCATGCCCTCCTTTCTGAAGCACTTCCTGTCTCACAAAGTTGCAAAGCCAGTAGATGAATTTTAAAAATTCTTCCTAAATCACCACAATAAATACTTTGCTAAATGTTCCTAAGAAATCACATGGAAATTCCTTTTTTCCATGTCATACGGTTATGCAGTATATGTATATATATTTTTTATTGGAAGAAAATAGAAAAGTTGCAACACAGTTGGAACAACTGATGTTTTTTGGATATATTAACCTAATAAATGCTTCTGAAACTTCTTCCTTTTTCCTTTTTTGATTACGCTCTTTAGATAAGGGGTTGAGGGGCAGGTCTGAATTTGAATTAAATAAAAGTCAAATTGGAGTTGAGGGGTGGGTCTGAATTTGAATTAATATAAACATTGTATTTGTATATATTGCACCTTGCAAACAACTTTGAAAAGTCTGATTCTATCTTCTGTGTAAAATTGTTCCTTGCACTGCTGTTTTAATGATATACTGCATGTATTAATTGGTTCAGGCATTTCCAGTAGAAGCAGTGCAGCAAGTCAGGGATCTCTGTGTTCCTTTTGCATTTAGCATCATTTCCTGTCATCATCCCCTATCCTGGGCGTCGTCTCCCTCATTGCCTCCCCCCCTTCCCTCCTCTGGCTGTTGGCTGATGTGTGGAATGATTAGCACTGTTCTCCTGGGTGGTTTCTATACTTGTCATTCATGATTGGTTTGCATGCTAGAAGCCATATGAAAATGCGTAGTCTTTCTGTAAATGATGGAGATTAAGACAAATGGGATGGCTGACAAATTGAGAATCAAAATAATGTAGTTAGATAAGTACTGTATTGTAAAGCTGATTGAAGTTTAAATTAAACTGATGGTTGTGATGTTGTTGTACTTGATCTGTACCAGATTTCTATAGAATCTCTTCTGTGCATATGCTATCTTTTTGATTCTGCACAAAATATGGGAGAGACATGGTCAGTCACATCCATTTGAAAATACGTAGTAGATGACTGCTCTTCTTTTGCGGTAGGGAATTCATAATTTAGGTAAGAGTGTCACCGGTTGGAGTGGTCAGTGTGGCTTGAGGAGTTCATTAGGAACTGACCCCTGTGGGTCATTAGGAACTGGTACATGTCCCAAGCCATACTGACCACTCTAATCAGTGACACTCTTTCCTAAATGACGAATTCATCACTTCAGAAGAGGAGTGGTCACCTACTAAATATTTTCAAATTAATGTGTTACAGAAATATTTCTGCCATTTTCTTCATTTAAACTTCAATAGTTTTACTAGTGCTATTTCCGTCTGATGCCCTTTTGTCCTGGTCATTAAGCCTACCTGATTATGCTGGTCTCCTTTTTTAACTCTTTAGAACAATGACAATGAGACGGCCCTCCATTGTGCAGCTCAGTATGGCCACACAGAGGTGGTGAAGGTCCTTTTGGAGGAGCTAACTGATCCCACCATGCGCAATAACAAGTTTGAGACACCGCTGGACCTGGCTGCACTATACGGGAGGCTGGAGGTGGTGAAGATGCTGCTCAATGCTCACCCCAACCTCTTAAGCTGCAACACCAAGAAGCATACTCCTTTGCACTTGGCTGCACGAAATGGTCACAAAGCTGTGGTCCGTGTCCTTCTGGATGCTGGCATGGATAGCAACTACCAGGTAGCCACGATAATCTTCAAGTTTTAAGGGTCTTGGCTTCTACAGAAAAGGCTCAGGAATCATGCTTTATGGGCTGTTATCATTTGATACATTTAGAAAAATGCTTTCACTCATTTTTAAATTAAAATGTGAAACTGTTGGCTAATAAAAGATGTATCCCTCCCTTTGAGCCTGTTTGGTCAGGTTCTTTTCAGTGGACAATTCCTGAAAACTCATCTCTAGATTTGAACATAATTTGCTCTTCCATTTGAACCAATTCCCTTTTTTGCTTTCTGAATGTTGGGAGCCCTCTTTCTACTACTTCAGAGCCCACAATTCTTGGCAAATTCGTGTTGTTACTATGTAACATAGTAAAGTATCCTCAGAGCTTTCCTACATGATGGTATGGAATAAAACTCCAGATTTATTTATGTGTACTCATCTTTCACAGTAGTGCCTAGTGTCATAATCTTTACATGGATCAAGTTACTGCTGAAGTGGAGGTGAATTCAGTCCCTTGTACTCAGTCTTCCTCCAGCACTTTTCTCCCTCATGATCCTTGTGCTGTGGGCTTTACAGATATGTGTAGCTGGACAGTGAGTGGAGCTGGTGGGTCACATGTGGCCCACCGCTATATTATCTCACAGGCCAAAGATAGGAGCCATACATGAATATTGTAAAACAGAGAAAACTACAAGAGAAGATTATGAAGAGGAGTGAGAGAGAGAGAGAGAGAGAGTGAGAGAGAGAGAGTGAGAGTGTGTGTGTGTGTCTGTGGTGTATTTTCCTTTGTGTCCCCTCTGTTGCCTTTAATAATTTGGAATTTCTGTTTCTCATGTAAACCCATGCTAATCTCTGGGATCACAGTTTCTGACTATGTCTTGCACTGAGTTCTTGTTTGCTTTACAGACGGAGAAGGGCAGTGCTTTGCATGAGGCTGCTTTGTTTGGCAAGACAGATGTGGTTCAAATCCTGCTGGCTGCAGGTGAGAGGTCGGCAGTGCTCTTGTATACGGCATGTCAGGGTCGGGACTGAACAGCGTCTCAGGAGGGGGTTGATTTCCACTGGCTGCAGTTGAACCCAGTTCATGTGTGTCTGCATTTGTTTGACTGTGTAAGTGTAAGACCTGTTTTTGGATAGCTGGATTAAATGGCTTTAGAGGATAACCATTATTTCTGCTGGAAGGTTGATGTAAGTGAACTTGAGTCTGGCTGTGTCTGAAGTTGTCTTGAAAATTCTCATTCTCCTGCTCCTTCCTGTGTATATCTCTAGGAATTGATGTGAACATAAAAGATAACCGGGGGCTAACTGCACTAGACACTGTTCGAGAGCTTCCTTCCCAGAAGAGTCAGCAGATAGCAGCATTTATTGAAGGTCAGTTCATGGGACAGAGGAGAAGGAAGCCCTCCCAGTGAGGCTACTGGGGATAGGACTGAGTGGTAAACCCAGAAACTTCTTTGCTCTAGCCCTTTTCTCTATCTTTGTAGAACACATGACTGGGAAAAGAAGTACAAAAAGAGACAAATCCATCAGAACCCAGCCACCGTTTGTCCCTAATGTGGACTCAACATCCCTGAAGTCTCAAGGTAAGCATGACTCTGTCCTCCAGTTAGGGCCTGGGGTGGACCAAATGTAAAACTTCCCCTTCTCTGCTTTGGAGTCCCCAGGTCTGTACAGTAAGTATGGCTTTTTGGTGTTTTGCCGCAAGACCAATATTCATCATATTAATTAACTATTAATTATGCTTGCATGTAGTTTCAGGGTGCATTTCTTGATGTGTGGCATGTCTGAACTTATATTGAACATATTTATTTCCAATATTTATACTACTAAGCAGGTTTATTGCCTGTGTGAGGTTGGAACAGTGCTTCAGGCACTCTCTCTTTTGCCTACTTTGTTTCTCAGAATTAGTATATGACCTACCTACTGCCATATAGTCTAGGATGGGTGTATGTTCTGTCAAACACAGGGTGGGGGTAGGGGGAAGTTGATGAGGAAGGAAGGGATAGAAATAAGACAGTATAACAAAATCCAAGTAGTTGCGGTTGGATTGTACTTGATGAAAATTATTTTTGAAAAGTTACCTAGGGGCAGCTAGATGGCACAGTGGATAGTGCTCTGGCTTTGGAGTCAGGAAGACCTGAGTTCAAATCCGGCCTCAGACACTTGACACTTACTAGCTGTGTGTCCCTGGCAAGTCACTTAACCTCAGTTACCTCATCAAAAAGCAAAAAAAGAAAGAAAAGAAAAGTTACCTAATTCTTGCTGTCATCAATGCCACTAACTAGAAGGTTAGGTTATTTAGGCCATTTCCCTGCTAACCAGAATTCAGATAGGTAGATTTTCAGAAAAGGATAATGCATTCATTACTAGGCCATTCTACCAACTATTAATTGTTAATTGTTTTAGAGTCTCAAGCTTGTGATTGTATTTGCTTAGGATATTCTGAACTGTTATGCTAAGATAGAATGTTGTGAGTCCCTGGTTAAGTTCAAATTGAACTACCTAGTGGCTATGGCAATTATAAATGTATGAAGATAACTGAATAATTACCAAGCCACTTGACTTATAGGTATGTCACCTAAAACAAAGACAGAGCTCGGGCAAAATGAAAAGACAAGCATTTAACTCAAATGTAATACTTTATATGTGTCACTATTACATTTCATCTTACTATATTTTCTGTTTTGTTTAGTCTGTTGGTTTTTTTGTATCCCAATTCTGTTGTCCAACATGATATTGATCCTGCCCAGCTTTGTAAATTCAGAAATTTGATAAATGTCACCTACCCTTTCAAGTCATTAGTAAATTAAGGTAGCATATGTTGGGAAGAGTGGTAGAATCGGACTCAAAGGACCTGGGTTCAAATCCTGGTTCTGTCACTTATGTGTTATCTTGATGGACAAGTCTCATAACTTTTCTGAATCTTCATGTTTGATCTATAAAATGAAGGGTGCTTTTTTTTTTTTTAAACCAGTTTACCTTTAAGGTGCCTTTCCAGCTCTAAATTTGTGATCCTATGTTGAACAGAAAACCAGAGACAAAGGGTATTTCACTAATGACACCCTTCCAGGTTAGCAGGAGTACATTCATCTATCACCTGTCTTTTGATTCAGTCATTCACCCAGTCTCAGATCTGCCTAATTCTATTATTGTCTAGCTCACATATCTCTATCTTGCCTAAAAGGATATAAAAACTTTGTCAGATGCCTTTTTGTATTCAAGGGCTATTATGTAGTGTTCAAAATTCTGCCGATCCAACAATATAGTAAAGTAGTCCAAAAAAGGAAAGGGAGCTAGTCTAGTCTACCATGACTTGTTCTCAATGACTTTGACGTCACCACTTTCCTTCATTAAGTACTCACAAACTATCCCTTTAATAAAGCATTCTAGAATTTTTCTAGGAATTGAATTCAGGTTCACTGTTCTGTAGTTTGAAGTATCCATCTTGTTTCCCTTTTTGAAAATTGAAATTTTTATCCTTCTATACTCCTCTGATACCTTTTGGACTCTATTATATTTCAAAGGGCACAGGCAATGTGATTTAGTAATCAAATCCACAAAGTATTTTTTTTTTAAGGCAATTCAGGTTAAGTGACTTGCCCAGGGTCACACAGCTAGTAAGTGTCAAAGGTCAGATTTGAACTCAGATCCTCCTGACTCCAGGGCTGATGCTTTGCACCACCTAACTGCCCCCCACAAAGTACTTTTTAACCTGCTATTTAATTTCTCTGGGAATCTAGTATTGGAACTAATTTATGCTAGCTAGGTGCTTTCATACTTTTTCACTTATTTAGGGTTTCAGTTCTTTGTTAACCTGTTTTTGTTCTATAATTCCTAGTGTAATGATCACTCTCCATGGCAGAGAAAACAGCTCAATTCCATGAAGATTTATTAAATACATACTGTATACAAAGCATTGGAGATACAAGGACAAGATCAAAATTGTCTCCAACCTCAGGGAACTTACATTCTGTCATAAAGCAAAATAACAGATGTGTAGTTCTCTTTTTTCTCTTTCATTCACCACAAGTAGTGATGACTTTCTGTGTGTGTGTGTGTCTGTGTGTGTGTGTGTGTGTGTGTGTGTGTGGGGTTCAGAACTTCAAACATCTGTGATCATATCTGGCTCATCAGAAAGAGTGCTGGATTTAGAGTCTAGGTTCAGTTTCATTCTGTTTCTGTCACTCTTTGTATGACTTTGGGCAAGTCATATAACTTCTCTTGGTCTCAGTTCCTCATCTGTTAAGTGACTGGGTCAGAGTATGTTTTTAGAGTCCTTTTTATCTGTGTTCCTGTGATCCCTCTGCTTATGCAAATTGTCTCCCCTCCATTCCCTGTTAGGTGCTCTTTTTGTTTTAGTTTCTGTGTCCAAGAATATTCATCATCTGGTCAATTGTCAATAAACATTTATTAAGTGCCTATTATGTGTTTGCACAGAGTTAATACTAATAAGAAAAGGAAAGACAGTCCCAGTAGTCAAAGAGCTTACCTTCTAATGAAAGTAGGTAAGACACTGGAAAAATCTGAAAAGTGGAGGGAGGGAATGCTGGAGGGTAGGGTAGGGAGGTGGGAAGAGGGGCTGAAAATTCTGAGCCCTCTACAAAAGGAGGCTTTGGGAGGAGTTTTTTGGTTTACCTTCTAGCAGAGGGTAAATTCAGAGGAGAGGCAATTGTGCCCCACCCTCAGTCTATGAGCATCTAGGGAGTTACCTCGGCCAGTTTTGGGTTCTATACTTAAAGCCTTTCTAGCTTGGTATAGGTCTTGTAGGACCTGCCAGAACTTATACTCCACTAATAGGCATCAAGAACCCATGGCCCTCTTCATGCCACAATTAAAGGTCAGTGGAGGAAAACACATAAATATCTGTGCTCACATGTATATATAAACATATTCACACATAGAAAATCCTTAAGGATTTATGTTCTCCAAAGAGCATAAGGAGTATTAACTGTTTAATTACTCCAAAGTTTCTTCTTCTTTTTTTTTTATAAACTATGTATTTTTGCACAATTATATTCAGTATTTACTTTGTTTTTTCCTCAACATTTATATATAGATAGATATGTCCAGGAGTGACATATCTATCTATATAGATAGATATAGAGGCCTCGAGGCCCCATGAATAAATCCCCTTAATAAAAGGATTTTATCTGTAAAAGTTGAACTCAGTCAAAGGGCTGCACTTGAGGACCTAGAGGGCCATATGTGACTTCAAGGCTTCGGATTCCCCACCCCTGGATATGTCTAGATCTGTGTATATATATATATATCTTGCCATTTATTGATGTGATCCACACATTTTTTTTTCATGTTATGTAGTATTCTTTTGTATTCATATACTACATTTTCATTAACTGATTCCCCTACTTTGAGGTATTTGGATTATTTCTAATATTTTCACTAGTAAGAATAACACTGCTTTGAATTTCTTTGTACAAATTGCTTTTTTTCCTTTAGTATTATTTTCTCAGTCTGACTTTGATTGTGTGAAAGGATTTGAACAAATTTTTTAAATTCTTGCTCTATGAGTCAACATATTGCTCTCCAAAAAGAGTAAGCAAATTTATAGTGCCACCAGGATTGTATAAATATACCTGTTACCTCATATCCCTGCTGAGATATTATTTTTACTGACTGTTGCTATTTAGCATGTATATAATTATACTTTAAAATATTTTAATTTGGATTTCTGATGTGATATAATTATAGGATTATAAAATTTCAGAGCAGGAAAGGTCCTATAATTTCTAGTCTAATCAATCCGGATGATTTTTACAGAAGAGAGAGCTGAGAGAGGACTAGAAAAGGTAAATAACTTGCCTGAGCTCACACATTTGAGTAGAGGCAAGATTCACACTTAGGCCTTCTGACACCAAATCCAATTTTCTATTCAGCAGTAAGAGTTATCTCGATATAGGAACACATGGTGAGAAAAGTGAAGAATTAGAAGACAAAAGTAATTTCTGGTGGTAGATAAATGAGTAAAGGTACAAGAGACTCCCCACCATATCATTTCCATGGACTTTCATTCAGAAGTGTAGTATATTGAACTGAGTAAAACTTCTCTTCAGCTCATTTAAAAGAACTGTGAGCGTTTAGAGTAGAGAAGGGAAGTCCTAATAGCCAATAGGATCATTGTCTTCAGGTATTTTAAGGACCTTCCTGTGGAAGAGGGGTTTGGTTTAATTTACTTAGCCCTGGGAAGCAGAGTGAGGAATAATGAATTGAAGCTGCACGTGAGGAAGAACTTCTGAAGAACGAGGCCCTCCCAGGAGGGGGGTGGGTCACCTGGGGAGAGGCTGGAGTCGGCCGTCACTGGACAACTTCAAGGAGGAGCAGAGTAACCGCTGGTCCACAGTGTGGTGGAGGCAGTTTCTGGGCATGTGTAGTATGGAATATGTTGTGTTTCTGATGTCCTACCTCTGAATTTTGTGCCCTGTGAGTTTAAAGTAAACGCTTTATTTTTAGGTCTAAGGACCAGACTAGTCAGTCACTGGTCTGAAAATTACATGGCTTCATCAGGGTCAGAATTCTGCATTTGGAGGCATGGCAGTTCTTAATTTTGTGTTTTCCGTTTCCTTCCTTTTTCTGTTCTCCTTGTCCTCGTCAGGTGATGTGGAGAAAGCAGTAAATGACCTGATCATTGATTTTGGCATGAACTCACAAGAGGAAGGTCCTTATGAAGCTCTGTATAATGCCATTTCCTGCCACTCGTTAGATAGCATGACCAGTGGAAAGTCTTCTGACCGAGAATCTGTGACCAAGGAGGCAGAAGCCGCCATTGTGAAAGCATCTGGAGTGAGGCCTGTGTGTACCTGTTTTGTTTCGGTTTTAAACCCATAGAAGGTGGGAGGGGGGTAAGGGAAAGCAGAGGAATGGGCCAGCAGGTCTTTCTGTCTTCTTGCTGCCCTTTTTGGAGCTCCAGGTTTGGCGTTCATTCACCTAGTTTACTCTTGGGTGTGTGAAAGGGTAATATGGGAGGAGACTTCTCTCAAAACCCATCACATTTGCATCACACTGCACACAGTAAATGTTTGATAAAGGTTTATGGTATTAAAATAAGTTAAACTTCAAGTGACTTTTCTCCCCCTTTACTATTTGTCTGCTCCATTTCACCTAGGGATTCTTCGTCTGGGCCTTGCCATTTGCCCTAGAACTGATCCCTTCTATATATGTTGTCTCCCCTAATTAGAATGTGTGACTCTTCTTCATGAGGTCCTTGTAAATCTCTATTGCAGTGACAGCTCCTGCTCTGATTAGAACTTTCTTGGCTTGATAATGAAATGATGCTTATATTAAGAGATAGAATGTTCCTGATTTCAGCTCAATGAGATGACTTCCCAACATTTTGTCATTTCTCCTCTGAAACAAGGAAGGAGCAAAACGAAAATCATTAGTTTTTGTTCCAACAAGTATTTGCGATCTTTACTAAAATATTTTACTTTTTTGTCCAGAGGGGTCCCAGAGTCATTTCTATATCAAGAAACAACAAAAAGTCTATTAGAATTAATCCCAGCTTGTATGGAGTATTCTGTCTCGGGCTCTATCTGCTCTCGGGAATTACCCATGTGGTCAGCATTGGTATTAAGCTGAACTATCTTGAGGCTTCATTGATACTGTTAGGATGCTTACATGTATGCTTATGTTTGCTGCTACCCAGCCTTGTCCCTCACATTCTAGATAAAAAGATTGTGTTTTCTCTATTCTTATCTTGGAACATGGGAGTGAAGAACATCAAGAATCAGCTTATTTTCTACCTTGTTTTCCCTGCCTGTTGTCACCTTCATTCTTACCACTGCTACTACTTCTTTCTATAGCTCTAAACTGAATCCTCTTGCTATTCTTAGGATTCGTTCCATATTATTTCCCCTAGTAAATAATATTTTTAAAGATGCCATTCTTTGACTCATTTTCTATTAAGCCTTAATCACTGAATGGATGCTGCTTCAGTCAAGCTGAGACCTAGTAAAGACCTTAGTTTGAAAAGGCCAAGGTCCCCCACTGCATCCTGGGCCATCTCCAATTGTCCTGATCTGTATCTAGTCACTGGACCCAGGTGATTCCGGAGCAGCCTTCCCTCACTTAAATCCAGTTCACTTGCACCTCCCTGATGTTAAGGTCCTTTTTGATAATGAAAGACAAAGGGGACAGCTAGATGGTGCAGTGGATAAAGCTCCAGCCTTGGAGTCAGTAGGACCTGAGTTCAAATATGGTCTCAGACACTTGGCACTTACTAGCTGCGTGACCCTGGGCAAGTCACTTAACCCCAATTGCCTCACCAAAAAAAAAAAAAGACTGAGAATGAAAGACAAATAGCAGCCACAGCAATTTACCCTAGAATGGTTTGCCACTAGGGTTTTTTCCTACAATCATTTCCCCTACTTGGTCATATACTGTGGTTTGGTGTTTTGAACATTGTGTTCCAGACATACTAGCTTTGTGCTTCCAAGGTTACATTGGTGATCCTACCTTGAGTAAAGTACATTTTGTTTTTATGCTAATTTTTTTCTTGTTATTGAGGCTGGTTTCAAAAAGGCCAAGGAAGGGGCAGCTAGGTGGCACGGTGGATAGAGCACTGGCCTTGAAGTCAGGAGGACCTCAGTTCAAATTTTCCCTCAGACCAAACACTTGACACTTACTAGCTGAGTGACCCTGGGTAAGTCACTTAACCCCCATTGCTTTAAAAAAAAAAATTAAAAAAATTTAAAAGGCCAAAGAATCTGTTACAGCCCCTAGAATATCTGATGGGCCTAGAGACCCTACTTCTTTGAGTATATTCCAGGGTAGTAGGTCTTTTGTGGTTCTGTGAGAAAGCGATTTGCCATAATGAAATGGACTCTTTCTTCTTTGCCCTCTGGTTGCAAGCCCAAACCTAAAGTTTGCCTCTAGAATGTCCCTGACATCATGGTGGCCCCCAAGGCTGGAGTTGCATCTCAAGAACTGCTGACCCTGCCTAGGCCCAAACTTCTCTTTGGAGCTGACTGCTATTTGAAGAGTTGGGATTAGGGATGAGATGTCGGTCAACAAAGCACCTGTATAATTTCGTACAGTGCTAAGGGTTTTGCCATCTTCCAAATGTCCTGCCTAAATACTTTAGCCATATTAAGCTATGAATTTGGGGGGGGGGGGGCATTTGCACACAAAGCCAGTAGGGGGAGCTGGAACCATTGAAGAGAATGGTAAGGAAAATGGATCTGTGAAAAACCAAGAGACTCTACTTGTTAGATTACTTGTTAAGGAACAAGTAATTTAATATCAGCTTAAGGACTTTTGGTCATTTGCTAGTTAATGTTACACGTTAGGTGTTGTTGTTTTTTTTCTCTCCCTCTCTCTCACGTAATTAAAAAGGCCAAAATCTCCCACAGCATCTGGGGCCATCTCCAGTCATCCTGCTCAGTATCTTGCCACTGGATCCAGATGGCTCTGGAGGAGAAAGTGAGGCTGGTGACTTTGCACAGCCCTCCCTCACTTAAATCCAATTCACTTGCATGCCATGGCATCACCTCCCTGATGTTATGATCCTCTTTGAGAATAAAGGACAAACAGCAACAAGGACTTTTGGTTGTTTGCTAGTTATTTTAGCACCTTAGGTGTTTGTTTTTTTCTCTCACATAATTATTTATATATCCTTTGTTCTTTGTGACTGTCAGTGCCACCCTTCTGTTTCCATATTATTGAAATGTGTTGCTCAGGCACAGTATTCAAGCCACATTTACTTTTCTAATGATTTTATCTTAAAATGGTAGAAAAAATGGTATGGTAGAAGAGAGTGATATCTTTAGTAATTCAGGTCTCATTTCACAATGTCATTGTAGCTATTTCTTGGGTTACAGAGTTCTCAGATCTTTTAACTCTTAGATTTTTTTTTTCATTAAAATTTTTTTTCCATCCCAAATTCTTTTCCTTCCTCCACCCTTCCCCAACTCATTGAGAAGGCAAGAAGCTTAGTCAGGTTTCTGATAGGCTCTGATTTTTTCTTCCATAAACATATGATCTCAAAGGAGGTTTACTTGAGGAGTGGCTACATACCTACTTTTTACACTCCCTAAATCTTAACACACATTGATTAAACACTTGCTGTATAATTGACACTGTTCTAGGTAATGGTGATACATAGCCACATATCAAATAACTTTTAAGCAGTTTATATTTTATCAGAGGAGATCACATCAGATAGTCTAGTATGGGGGAATAGTGCTGGCTCTGAAGTTGTAGGACTTGGGTTCAAATTCAGCTTCTGTTGTTGACTTCTTTGTGACCTTGGAAAAATCACTTGACCTTTCTGTACCCCAGTTTCCTAATATGTGAGATGTGGGGATTAGACTTTAAGATTCTTTTGGGCTTTAGGTCTGTGATCCCTCTGATCCTATGTACCTACATAAGTATGTACAAAATAAATATAGAATACATACACACACACACACACACACCCCCCTCAGAAATCATTAGTAGTAGCGGAGGATTAGGATTAGCTCCTGATGTAGGAGCAGCTGAGTGGGCTGATTTCTCTGGAGGGCTCTCACAACTCAATGTTCTTCTCTTCCCTTTCTTCCTGAAGTATTTACTCCTCTTTTTGAAATGCAGTGAATGAACCTATAGACATAGACTCGCATACAGCACAGACCGTTTGTGACAGCACAAGTTGGGGGAAACATCCCCATGGACATTTTCCATGTGTGTCTACCCCTGTAGACTGGAGGGTGAGGATATATTCAGCTTCCCCTGCTTTTTTAATCTCCCTACAAGAATCTGCTTCGTAATGGAATTTTCCAATCGAAACAATAGCTAATCAAACATGAGTAATTCCTTGGAATGTAAAAGGTACTGAAGTGCCTTCTGGTATAGTTGTAAATGTTTTTCACATTTTTTAGCATGCAGGGTCCTTTATCAAGGATAATACCATGTATCTCTAGAATTGCGTGGATTCAGGAGCTTCACATATTAATACCCATGAGTCCATTGTATTACTTGTAAAGTATTTCTTCTTTTAGCCTCTTGCTTTCCTAAAGCAAAAAAAATGGGGCTTATTCTTTTTTAAAAAATAGGCTTAAATGAAATGAGGTTTTAATGTGCCAATGAATAAGAAGAGTTATCTGTATGGAATAAAATGATTGGAGATGAGAGGGTATTTTTTTGGCTTTTGCTAATTTTTTTTTTATGGAGAGCATTGAAGTTTGAGTAAAAACTAGTGTTTTGATCATTGAGTGCTTTGCTAAGAGTCAGTTCATGAACATTGATTTCTTGGATGTATTCAAGTAGGTAGAGTTTTCATTGTTTCAGAAAATTCAGACTTAGCCTAGCAGCCAAAGAGGACAACAGTGTTTTAGATTTTGTATTCTTGCAATTTCTGTGATAATTATTTACTCTGTACTATTATAGCAGTATGAGAGCCCAGTCAGAGCAAGTTCAGCAGGAAGTTCTTCCGCTCAACCTTCCTGATAATGTTCTCTTACCTTTCCCTTCCTCCCTACACCCACAGGAGGGAACCCAGGGCCTCTAGTCCACCCTAACCTTTGGGCCCACTCCCCCTTTCTCAAGAATAGTGAGCCAGATTCCTCCACCCCCTCTGCCCTACCAGCTCTTGAGGCAGATGTGGTTCTTCACACAGCTTGAAGGAAGAGGGAGATACCAACTACAATCTTCCTGGTAATATGGAGCATCACATAGACCATCACATCTCCCCTGTGCTAGCTACTGTGGCACACTGGATTTACCAATTAACCTGCTACTTCACCTAAAGGACCCTTGGGCCTTGTCATTTGTCTCTTTTATATGTATATATGTGCTGTCTTCCCCAATTAGAAAGCGAGATCCTTGCAATCAGGGATTGTCTCACTTTTCTAGTTGTATCTCTAGCACTTATCACGGTGCTAGTAAGTAGCTATGAAATGCTTTTTCATTTAGTTTTCACTCAGTAATAAGAAACTTTTCTAATCCCAATTTTCCTATTAATATTGAGAGCACCACCATCTTCTCAATCTCATAGTCTTAGTGTCCTCAACCCCTTACTCTCAGACTCACCACACATATGTAATATTGACAAATCTTGGTCATTTCTACCTTCACAACATCCCATTGTATCCTCTCAACTCACTGTCACCTCCATAGTACAAGTCTTCATCATTTTCCAACTAGACATTTTCTATGTCTTCTAATTGGTCTACATGCCTCAAATATCTCCCTCTTTTATCTTCGACTCAACTGCCAAAATTATCTTCCTAAAGTTAAAGCTAGGTCTGACCATATCACCCCTCTACTCAATAAACTGGCTCCCTATTACCTTTAGGATGGAATGTAAAATCCTCTGTTTAGCATCTAAAGCCCTTTAGAACCTGCCTCGTTCTTACTTTTCCCTTGCCTATTCCTGTCCACCCACTCTACAGTCCAGCGATGCCGCCAGACTTGCTGTTCCTCACATAGTCTTGTGCATTTGCATTTGCTGTCCCCTCTGATTTCCCTCCTCACTTCTGAATTTTAGCTTTCCTGGCTTCCTTCAGGACTCGGATAAATCCTACCTTCGACAGGAAGCCTTTCCTGGTCCTATTTCTCTACACATGCTGCGCGCTTGTGGGGCTCTTCCCCCCTCCCAATACATACAACCCTGTCTCTCTCCCACCCTCACTCCCTTCCCCCCGCTGCAGTATGTACATAAATACGTACACACACCCCCCCCCCCGAAGTGCACTCCTTTCCTGGTCCCCATCCCCCAAACTACTAGTACCTTCTCTCAGATATTACAGATTTTCTGTTTACACAGCATATATCTTCTATGTACATAATTATTTGTTATCTCCTTCATAGGATTTGAGCTCTTTTAGGGCAGGGAACTGTTTTAGCCTTTCTGTCTTCATCACTTAGCACAGTGACTGGCTATTTAGCAAATCATTTATCTTCACAGCTGCTCAATGTATGATAGAATTTCTCATCCTTTGTCTTAAGAAATGAAGGCAAGAGCTCCATGGCACTGAAGGGAAGAAATCTCTGTTAAGGGAATAATTTTGATCCCTTATTTGGCCTCTTCAAGACATGTTTTAATTACCAATGGCTAAACTAGGGGTAGACCAAAAATGCCCGATGTTTAAGAAGAGACATGCTAAAATACTTAGGCTTTTTTTTTTTAATCATATAGAGAGAACGTCCACCCCCTCCAGCAAAACCACCACCAGAGGAAGAGGAGGAGGAAGACACTGAAATGGAACTTTGTCCTCACACATCCTCTGAGGTATGTGTGTATGTAGGAGAGGGAAGGAGGGAGGGAGAGCGAGAGAGAGGATTAGAATAAATAATTGCTTTGGGGTGATTAACTCCTTTTATTCCTTACCTATGTTATCCTAGCACCTTTTGGCTGTGTTCTTTTTGCTTTGGTCTTTCATCTCCAGAATATAACTTTATTATCAATGACAATTAATGTATGGACAGCTGACCTTGAATCCAGAAGACTTACCTGGGTTCAAGTCCTGCCTTTGATATATTCTGACTTTGTGACCCCAGGCAAGTACCTAACCTCTCAGTGCCCAAGCCAACTATGTAAGACTGTAAATTATAGAGAAGGTGTTGCTCTGCATTTGTAGATGAAATTCCTCACTGGGAGCTCCATATATTGATGCAATCACAGGCCTGGTAAAACAAAACAGAACAAGACCAAAAAAAAAACTCCAAACCTCTTTATGCTAATAGCTACCTGTTCAAAAAACTTACATCATTTCAAAAAATTTCATTCCCTGTTGTTTTAATAATTTTTATTTCTTTTGTATTCATATCACCTTGGTTTTTTAGTATAGCCTTCCTTTATCTCTCTTTCCGCTCCTTGTCATTCTCTTCTCTTCTGCCACCCTGAGAGAACCATCCTTTATAGCAGAGGTGTTAAACACATGACTGGGGAGCCTCACAAGTTGAGTCCCACAATACTCCTGAGTGCTGCCCAAAGCAGAGATCCTTCTGTATGGTTTCGTGGCTAAGTTTGACACTACTGCTTTATAACAGTGAATAACAAAGAAGAAAAAAGTGATTAAGCAAAATTAGTCAGCATATCAATCAAATCTCACCTTGTTATTTAATAAAAATAACAGGTCATGGGCCAGCTAGGTGGCACAGTAGATAGAGCATTGGTCCTAGAGTCAAGAGAACCTGAGTTCAAATTCGGCCTCCGACACTTGATGCTTCCAGCTGTGTGACCCTGGGCAAGTCACGTAACTCAGATTGCTTCCCCAAACAAATAAACAAATAAGTGCAGGTTATTGGGATGCATTAATTTAGTCACTTTTCTTACTGTTTAATTTTTATTAATGTTTTACTTTGTTAGAGCCTAGGATTAGACATTTGTGTAGCTAATGAAGCTCTGAAAATTAAATTATTCCCCACCACTTTGGAAAATTGCTCCTCTTGCCTACCAGAGGCTTTGAATCATTCCTTTAACACATGTAGCCCATTGTAATAAAAATAGAGCAGTTTTGGCAAGGAGGTTATGATTAAACCTAGGTCCTCTGTACTACCTCACAACAATAATAAATGTGCCAAATAAAAGAATTATGAAAAAGAGGAGGATCAAAAAAACCTTTCAGGAAAGCTGTAAGACAAGAGAAGGAAGTAAACAAGAAAAAATGCTCAAGTACAATGACTATACTTGGAGTCACGGATTACTAGAAGAAATCACTAGAAAGAAAGAAAAGGATGACAACAACAGCTTTACCTCCAGAAGAAAGACTGGGCATGCCATAAGAACTCTTAAGAATGGTTTTGAATCATGATACAAATTACAAAAGAAAATCTTTTATCTGAAGTATTGGGAATAATGAATTCATGATGAGGAATATGAAAATTAACCACATATAAAGATGATGAAAAAGTTCCATAAAATATTGGGCTGTCTATGGAACAGAGCTTTAGGCAGAATGAAAAAAAATGCAGAGATTTGAGAATTACTGATCTCTATTGAAAATATGAAAGAATTAGAGTCTGAATCTCTTACTCCAGGAAATGATACAAGAAAGTTTTGTAAAAAAGAAGTAGGATATAAATCTGTAGAGAAAAATTTGAAGGACTTACCCACAAATGTTATTGCTGAATTGTAAGTATATAATCAAGTATATAGTCCTCCAAGTAGTCAATTCAATGTCTTTTTCTGTCTGTTAAATTTTTAATTAAGGTTTCATTATACCAGAGTCTAGGACAAGGTATTTATGTATCATAAGGAAAATTTAAAAGTTACATTATGTCCCATTCCTTGCCTGCTCCATATTCAAAATTGTACCTTTTATGTGCTGTATTGTCCACTGGAGGACTTGAATCTTCATTGTAATACATGTAGCTTATAATAATAAAAATAGAGAAATTCTGGCAAGATCATGGAATTAAGCACCAATTCAGATTGCACAATGATAATGAAATGAGAGATGGAAAAATGATGTACTAAAAAGTTATGGAAACTGACCTACACCCCAGAATCATCCATCCCTTCTAAAACTGAGCATATTCACCCATCATGAGAAAAAATGGTTCTTCAATGAGAGCAGGAAATTTAAATGAGAAATACCAAGCTGGGCATGTCCTAGTGAATGGAACTAGGATAAGTCAAGCAATTGCACTGACTGAGTCCACTACAAGTTCACATTATCCAGTCTCAATTGGGCCCTCATTGTAACAGGGTAGTTCTTTTTAGTCCTCCTGAATGGATTCTGTATTCCATTTCCCACAACTGCTCCAAAGTTCTTCTCTTAAGGTGCCTGTCTCAAACCTTCCAGCTGAAGACCTCTTTATTTTGAGAAAGTAAGACTATTCATTGTATGCTCTCTTGTTTCCCTTTTTCTGTATCTCACAATCCCTTAATGTCATACCCAGTTGTTTACTTCTTTATTGTTATTCTTGATGATGATACAGCTCTTCTCCTTGCCAAGGCCAGCCCTTCTGTATACTCTTCTTTAGACCATTACCTCCTATTTTTTCCAGCAGATTGCCCTCTTAGTCATGACCCTTCTTTTTCCAGTCATCAATAGCTTCCTATCTACTTGTTCCTTACTTGTTATCTCCAGATGCACTCAAGTCACTTCCATCCTTAAAAGTCCTTACTAGACCCTACTATCTTCTCAAGGTATAGTATTATACTTCCCTCCTTTTCTCAGCTAAACTCCTACTACAGTAGAAAAGTCATTAATATTTTAGTCAGAGAACCTGGGTTCAAATCCTTTGATGCTACTGCTTGCATGATATCATGCTAGTTATTTATTCCCTCTGGATCTCAGTTTCCTAAACTGTAAAATGAGGAGATTGAACTAGATGGCCTCTGGGGTCCCTTATGGATCTGTGATGCTAGAGCACTGTCTATGCTAACTGCTTTCAATTCTTCTCTTGTCACTTCTCAGTCTTTTACAGTCTGGCTTCCAACCTTACTGCCACCCAGTAGAAACCGCTCTCTTCAGGTCCTAAATTGCCAAAAATGGTGGGTGGCCTGTTCTCAGTCTTCACCCTTCTTCACTTCTTTGCAGTATTTGATACTGACTACCGTTTCCTTCTGGACACTCTCCTCCCTGGGCTTTCAGAAACTGCTCTGTCTTGGTTATTTTCCAGTCTCTTCGATCTCTTTTTCATCTCCTACGTTGGTTCAGTCAAGCAGTTATTAAGCACCCACTGTGTGCCAAGCACTGTTCTGTGTGGCAGAGAAATAAATCCAAAGAATGAAATAATCCTTACTTTCAAGGAGCTTCTAACATCAGTATCATGCCCCATGACTGTGGGTATAACCCTCTGTCCTGTTGTCACTTTCCTTCTTTCCATATGCTCTTACTTGGTAAGAGATTACCAGAGATTTAATTTGCATCTGTTATGCGGATCTTTCTACTTATCTACCCCTGGTCTCTCTCCTTAGCTCCATTCCTACACCACCAACTGCTTATTAGACATTTTTTAAAAAATAAAATTTTAGTTAAATATTTTGTTTTTATATCCCCTTCATTTCGCAATGTATTCATGTCCATTTGGCTCTTCCCGCCCCCACTCTGTGAAGAAGCGGGGTGAGTGTCTATCCTCAGGGTTCCACATCTGGTACAGTGGACCACTCAGAGCTTAGGGGTTCAAGTAAAGAGTTCCTTTAATAAAAACACTTTTCTCCGTTTCCCACAAACAACTCCCCTCCCCCAATCACAACAACAGCAACAAACAACAAGGGTCAAAATTTACCCCCAAAGTGGTAAATCTGTGTAGGAAGATAAAAGCCTCCTGCAAGGAGATTAAAATAGTCATCATTCCCTGGCATCTCAGGAATTCTGCTAATGTCCTAAAACTTTTTATATCCTCCTTGCCCAAAGTCATCAGTATTTTGATGAATTAATTTTTAGTTTTCAATATTCACTTCCACAAGATTTTGAGTTCCAGATTTTCTCCCCATCTCTCCCTTCCCCCCACCCCAAGACAGCATGCATTCTGAATACCCCTTCCCTTCTATCACCTCCCCTTCTCTTATCTCCTTCCCCTTCTATTTTCCTGTAGGGCAGGATAGATTTCTAAACCCCATTGCCTGTATATCTTATTTCCCTGTTGCATGTAAAAACAATTTTTAACATTCATTTTTAAAACTTTGAGTTCCAAATTTTCACCTTCCTCCCTCCTCATCCACCCTCATTGAGAAGGCAAGCAATTCAATATAGGTTATACATGTGTAGTCATGCAAAACGCTTCCTTAATAGTCATGTTGTGAAACACTAACTATATTTTCCTCCATCCTATCCTGCCCCCCATTTATTCTCTTTTCTCTCTTGACTCTGTCCCTCCTCAAAAGTGTTTTCTTCTGAGGTGGAGCCAAGATGGCGGAGGGAAAGCAGTGACTTACTAGAGCTCTCCCCCAGCCCCCTCCAAATACCTATAAAAAATGGCTCTAAACAAATTCTAAAAGAGCAGAACCCACAAAAAAACAGAGTAAAACAAATTTCCAGCCCAAGACGACCTGGATGACTGATCAGAAAGGTATATTGCACCGGGCTGGGAGAGGAGCGCAGTTTGGCGTGAGTGTGCAGGCCACAGCAACCCTGGAGCAGGCCTCAGAAGACTGAATCGTGGGCAGCTGTGGCGGTTTCCAGACTTCTCAACCTACAAATGCCAAAGACAACTTAGAAGGTCAGTGGGAAAAGTCTGTGACTGTGATGAGAGAAGAAGCTAGGTCTCAGCCGCCCTGAGGGCAGCAGCTGCCTTCTGAGCTTCCGGCCCACAGACTGAGGGGGAATCAGGTGGCTG